AGCCGGTGCTGGGAAGGAGGAAGCTCAGCTGCCGGCTGCTCCGCAGAGGTGATCCCTCCTGCAGTTTTCCAGCCGTGTCCAGCTGGCTGGACAGCCGGGCACCGGGACCCGCGGAGAGCAGGCCGGGGTTGCTGTGGGTGCAGGCCGAGCGGCACAGACATGGCCGAGAGTCAGAGGGGAATCTCAGCCTCGTCTGTGCTCTGCGCTTGGCGTGGGCAGCTGCAAGGGGCTATTAAAGACTTCTGCCATTGTGCCTGTCTGCAGAGGTGCCAGTCGGGAGCAGCGGTTCGAGGGGAGGCCTCAGCTCCGGCCCTCCGCAGGCCGCTCCACAGGGCCAGGGCCTCAGGGAAGAGCAGCACGAGAGACCACCCTTGTGTGTGACCACGAGTCACTGGAGCCCTCTGGGCCTCCCCCATGCCACGACGGCCAGGCCGAGTTTTGGGGATGGCGTCTGTGCCGCCCCGGCGCTGCCGCGCTCCGCAGGGCCAGGGAGCTGCCCTGCCACACGCGCGGGTGGCTCGTGGGAATGCGACGGAGCAACTCAGGGCCGCTCCGTCCCCAGCCCCTGTCTCCTCCCCGCCGGCCCTGCGTTCGCTGCGACCATCGGAGCCGCGTCCTCTTCTCGCTCCCCAGAGCTCATGGCGTTTCCCTGGCTGCTCCTGATGTTGTCACTTTTATCTGGGACTAGTTGTTAGAGCCATAAAAATTAGAATTCCCTGCTGCTCTCGAGTGTCAGGTGCTCGGGTCTTACCGTTGCCCAGCAAGGCCTTGGGCCGCCCGCAGCATCTCCCACCTCCCCTCCGTCTCCATCGGCCTCTGTTTCCTCAGGAGTAGTTCGCAGTCGAGCCAGCCTTGGTTGTGTCTCTGCCACCTTCCTGATCTCCCTGCGTCCCTCTGTGTCATTTCTCTGTCCTCATCAACGACTTCACAACGTCAACACAGGAGTGAACGTGCCACGTAGGTGGCATCGTGTCCATGGACGTGCCGAGGGCACCTGTAGGATGCAGCCACCCTTGCCTGGCTGCTTGGAGAGGGACTGGATCACGGCCCTTTGCCAGCTCCCAGGGGCAAAGTGAGTATTGAAGGAGAGCCGAAAGGTGTTGGGTGCTGGCTCGGATGCTGTGCCAGCCCTGGGGGTGACACTCGGTCCCGCAGGACGGGCAGGTATCATGGCGGGCGCCTCGGTGTGCCGGCCTTTCCGAGGCGGCGGTGGGGAGCCGCGCTTGCCCGCTGGCCCCCTTCCTATCGGCCCCATCTCTTCCCGCGCCGGG